TTACAACACTTCTCAAATTTGCCCCCTTCTCTCTGACACTGCCCACATCCTGGTGCAGGGCCTCCTCAGCTCACATTAGGACTACTGCAATAGCTACTGATGGGTCTGCCTTCCTGTCCCCACTCCAATACCTCCTCCATTCAGCCACCAATGTGATTTTCCTAAAGCACAGGTCCTAAAGCACACATCCCTCCACTCAATGAACTCCAGCAGCTCCCTATCATCTCCAGGATCAAATACAAAATCCTCTGTTTGTGGACAAAGTCCTTCATAAACCACTCCACCTTTCCAGTCTTCTTATACCTTATTCTCCCCTACTTACTCAATCCAGTGACACTAGCATCCTTGCTCTTCAAGAACAAGACACTCATTTCTCAACTCTTGGGCATTTTTCTCTGTCCACCCCCAATGCCTGGAATCTGCTACCCCATGTCAGACTACTGCTTTCCCTGGGTTCCTTTTAATCAATCAGTCGATAAACATTTACTACGCATTTTCTATGTGTCAGGTACTGCTCTAAATCCCAACTAAAATCCCATCTTCTATAGAAAGTCTTGCCTGTTTTGCTGAGTCATTTTTTTACTTCTCCAGCTCATTTTACAGTTGAGGATACTGAGGTAAACAGGATTAAGTGACTTGCCCAGGTCACACAGCTAGTAAGTATCTGAGGCTAGATTTGAACTCATGACGATGAATCTTCCTGAGTCCAGGTCCAGCACTCTATCCGCTGTGCCAACGAGCTGCCTCTCCTAACCCCTCTTAATTCTAGTGTCTTCCCTCTTTTTCCTATTTATCCTTTATATAGCCTTTTTGTACAGATTTGTTTTTCCCATTAGATTTTTAAGCTCCTTGAGGGCAGGGACTATCTTTTGCCTCTTTTTGTATCCCTAGCACTTAGCCCAGTGCCAGGCACATGTAGTTCAGTTGTGTCTGATTCTTCAGGACCCCATGGACCATAGCATACTGTCTAGAGCGAAATACCGTCCTTGGCAAAAAATACTGGAGTCTGCCATTTCTTTCTTTAGTGGTTAAGGCTAACAGAGGTTAAATGACTTGCCCAGGGTCACACAGCTAGTAAGTATCTGAAGTCGAATTTGAACTCAAGTCTTCCTGATTCTAGGACCAGTGCTCTATCCACTGAGTCACTTAGCTGCCTCTTTTGTTAACCATTATTAATATTATTAATTATTAATTAACCATTGTTAATAATTAATTTTCCTTAAGCCCAGCATGTGACTTGGAACCAGGAAGACTGATCTTCGTGATTTCAAATCCATGCTCTGAGAAACTTATCAGCTGTGTGACCCTGGGCAAGTCACTTAACCCTGTTTGCCTCAGTTCCTCATTTATAAAATGAATTGGAGAAGGAAATGGCAAAACCACTCCAGCATCTTTGCCAAGAAAACCCCAAATGGGGTCATGGAGAGTTGGATGTGACTGAAACAACTCAACACCAACAATAAATGTTTATGGACTGACCTCTCAGGTCCCCTCAGGAAGATCAGTGCTTTGGAAAGGATAGTAAGCTTGGCAAGGGGAAGTTGTAGAGATGGCATTGCTGGGTAGTGCTAGGCAAGGCAAGGTCTGACAGAGGCCATTAACTTTCCTGTTCTATGCAGATACTCCCTTGGAACCTAATTTATGGATGTGGGTGGATCTCAACATAGTATGTCCTACAGCTGGGAAGCAGATCTCAAAGGAGCCAGATTTGGTCCATAACCCTGCATCTCTTGAAGAGGAAGAAAATACCTCTTTCTCAGAGGACAGTTTGCAGCCCCCAGCCTCCACCAGCCAGCAGCCCCCAGGCTCACCCAGCCAGCAGCCCCAGGACTCCACCAGCGAAAAAGAGGTATGGATACAGGTATTCTTGTCCCCTTACGGACAGGGTAGAATTAAGAAAATATCCTTTAGCCCTCATCAAGGAGAAGAAATGATTAACAACAGCTACCCCATCCCATTAGACAATATCCATCCCATGGATGGTTCCATGCCTGACCTGAAGAAACAGTTTTCTAGGGAAGAATCATTTATTACTGCCTGTCCTGAAATCCTAGATGCTTATAAACATTGCCTGAAATAGGGGAGAGAGCTGTTTAACTCAACCCAAGTCCCAAAATCTAGCCTTTCACCTTACTTTCTGTACTCTCCTAGCTCTCAGAAGAAGAAGATAAGAACACCTCCATGATCCTCCTATCACCCCACAAAGTGGGATCCCTTCGAGGCTGTCGGCGACAGGTGGGCACCCAGACAGGGGCCCGGTGGCCCAGACCCCCACTTAATTACTGTCACCTAATAGCTCTGGCACTGAAAAACAGCTCTTCTAGAGGACTCAATGTCCAGGAGATCTACAACTTCACCCGGTATGTGCCCAGGGTATGGGTGAGGGTGGAGAGAGAGGGCAGAGTGGGAATGGAGAAGGGGTCTAGGATCTATGGCTTTTGTCTTCCAACTGCCCTGGTGGCATAAGTAAACAGAATAGGCTACCCTCTGTGTATTGTGCTGGGAAGACACTAGACGCAACGATGATTGAAATTCCCAGTAGAGATTCATTTCTTTGAATCTTTGTCCCAGCTTAAAATACAATTTATCTTTAATTGTCAGGAACACATTAAGCCTTATCAGTTGGCTATATCTCACATGAGTGAGCATCAGTTCCTTTCTTGAAAGTAGATTTTATTGAGGAAAGTCAGTCAACAAGTATTTTTAAATGCTTATTTTGGTAACAGGCACCATGCTAAGTGCTGGAGAATACATGTCCCTTGTCCTCAAGGAGCTTACATTCTAATGGGGGAGACAAAATGCAAGTAACAGTGTATAGATATAAAATGGTAGAATATAATGTATATTCTACATATGAAATATATCTCCTGTGGAATATCTATATTATAATATTAATATATTAAATAATATATGCTATTCTAAGTAATATATATTCTATATAGAAAATACATATTCTATTGAACATCTCTAATATGCGATACAAAATATTATATAGTAAATTTATTGTATTTAAAAATGTATAAATAATGTAATTTATTCTAAATAATAGTCTATATATAAAATATCATTGAATTTCTATAATGTATAATATATTAAATAATATGTAAATATACTCTATTCTAAGTTATATATTCTCTATATAAAGCATATTTTGTAAAATATCAATAATACCATATAGAAGATAATCTCAGAGGGAAAACACTAACAACAGAAGGGATTGGAATTTAAGCTGGGTCTTGAATCTGGAAGCCAAGGAATCATGGAGGTAAGGGGGAAGCATTCCAGGCATGGATTCCAGCATTCCAGGATCACTTGTGAAAAGACAAAAGAGATGGTCCAGGACAAACAAAAAATTCGTGGGTGTGACTTGGATGAAAATCCAGCAAAGGAGACTGAGAAGGACAGGTAGGAGAACCTGGAGAGAGCCAAGTCATGAAAACCTAGAGAGGAGAGAATGACCAGAAGTGGGTGATTGACAATGTTAAAGGGCTGCAGAGAGATCAAGAAGGATGTTGGTTGAAGAAAGGCCATAATCTAATGGCCAATTAAGAACAATTAATTATTAATAATCAATTAAGAGATAACTGGTAAATTTGAAGAGAGCAATTTCAGGTAAATGATGAGATCAGAAGCCAGATTGCAGAGGGTTTAGAAGAAAGTTAGAAGAAAGGAAATGGAAGTACCAAATGTGGACAGCTTTCTCCAGGGGTTTAGGCTTAAAAAAGAGACATAAAGGATGCCAGATAGTAGGGATGGTTGGATAAACTGAGTGTTTTTTTTAAATAAATGTTTAGTGATATCTTTTGTTTTTTATATCACCTGAATTTTCCCCAACATCTCTATCCTCCTGCCCTCTCCCAGAGAGTCATCCTACATAACAAATATTTTTAAAGAAAAAGAGGAAGAGAAAAAGAAGGAAAAAGAGGGAAAAAAAGGAAAAGAAAAAGCTAGCAAAATTGATTAATTTTAAAAGTCTGAAAATACAACATAAACCATGTTCTGTACTCGTGGACCTCCCATATCTACAAATGAGGAGAGCAGTAGTGTCTTCTCATATATTTTATATCTCTTCTTTGCAGCCATATTTGTCCTTTATAATTTAGCAACATTCACTTTTGGTTATTTTGTGGTTCTTTCCATTTACATTATTGTAGTCCTTTTGTGTATTGTTTTCTTGGATCTCTTTCCTTCACCCTTCATCAATTCATGTCAATCTTTCCATGTTTCTCTATGTTCATCATATTTGTCATTGTTTATAGCATAGTAATATTCCATTCCATTCATGTACCACAATTTGCTTAGCCATTCCTCAATAGATGGATATCTACTTTGTTTCCAGTTTTTTTGGTATTGCACAAAGTGCTGCTATAAGTATTTTGGTGTATATGGGGACTTTCCTTTTATCAATGCAACTTAGAATTTTTTAATGATAGAGGAAACATGGACATTTTTGCAGACAGCCAGTAGATAGGGAGAGTGAAAATATGTGAGAGTGGAGATGAAAGAGAAGACAGTATGGAATGGGATCCAGGGTACATCTAGATTACTTTGGATAGATACTACATTACTTTGGAAAAGATAATGGTAAGCTACTTCTCTGTGAGACAGTGAAGTTGGAGTGAGGAGGGAATAAAAGGGAACATTCCTAGAATGGAGTCAGTTTTTTTATTTTTTAAGTATGAAACAAGGCTCTCAGTTAAAAGGGTGGAGGGAAGAGGGTATCATGAGAGGTTTCAGAAGAGATGAAAAGGTTTGGAATAGCCATTATGGTGAGTAGTGCAGTGAATAAATTAGGGAGAAATAGAATCTACTGAGAAGTAGAGAGGTTGATGAAGAAGAAGAACAGGGTTAGGGGGGTCATAAAGCAGAGAGAAAGATGGAATTGAAAAAAAAATGATTATCATGATTTAAAGGAATTTGAGGGTTTATGAGTACGGAAGTAGAACACTTTATATGACGGCGAGATCAAGGTAGGACCTTTTCTGTATGTAGTTGAGGTGGTATGGAGGAGTACTTTATAGGAAACGAGCAGATTAAGGAATTGGAAAGTTAGGGTGTTTGGGGAGCCTTAATGTATACACTGAAATCCTCTGGTGTGAGGGGCAGGAAATGGGTAGAAGAGCCTGAGGTGGAAAGAGAATATCCTTTAGCCAATAATTGCTACCAGAATCTTGGTTGGGAATAAATTTGGACTGAATGAACCTCACAAGAGAAGTTACTAAGTGATGATGGTAGAGGAAGAGTCTGGAAGAGGCAATGGGCAACAAGGAGTGTTCTGACTCCTTCACCAAGACCAGCAAGTTAAGATGCATGAGTGAAAGTACAAACAATACTGGAAAGGGAAGCCAGAGGAAAAGTGTATGAAGTTACTGAGCAATACCTGAGATGGGAGCAGTTTAGTAGAAAAAGACTTGGGAGTTGAATCTGACAAATCTCATCTCGGCTATTAACCATCCATGTGTTTTCCCCTCTCTGGGCCTCAGTTGCCTCTTCTGTAAAATCAGTGATCTAGAAGATCCTTTGCAGCTCTAAAGCTATATGATTCTTTCTTTTAAAACGTTTTATTTTTCCTCAACTACATATAAAACAATTTTTAATCTTTTTAAAAATTTTGAGTTCCAAATTCTCTCCCTCCTACCTCCCCTCCCTGAGGTGGTAAGCAATCTGATATAGATTATACATGTGCAATCACATAAAACATATTTATATATTGAACATTTTGTGGAAGAAAACTCAAACCAGAGAGAGAGAGAGTGAAAGAGAGTGAAAGGTAGTATGTATTCAGACTCCACCAAAGCTATACCATTCTTAAGGCCAACACAGACAGGAAGTCTACAATTTGTTTGCTGGTTTTACACAGGACTTTTTTTTTTTTTTTTTTTTTTTTTTTTTTTTTTTTTTTTTTTTT